TTTTATTACTTTTATCAAGCAATGATAAGACGAAAAATTAAAAAATTTAATTCATTTAATCAATTTTCATATTTATTTGTTAACATTTTTATTATATTATAACGTGATCAGGAATGTTGTTATTTTATTATTTATATGTAATCCTTGCCTAGGCGGCTTAAGATGGCTTCCGGTTTACAATGAGTTTACGTCTTTTTTATTTTCTACTTCTATAGCTAATCCTTAGTGTCTACGTCTTATGGATCTAATTTGTCTTTTGCTCATCCTCTTGTAAGAACTATAAGTAAAAGTGAAAAAAACCTTTCTACTGTCTTCTACCATTGCTTCTTCTTTGGTATTGTCTTGCTGCTTCTTCTTCAGTCTTTTCCCCTCCTCCACGTGATCAGGAATACAAACTAGAGTAATTTTGCAAGCGGCTAGAACGAAAGTAATTTACACGAAATGTTTCGAAATATTTCCTACGTCAGCGTCGTTGATCTTTCTGTAAATTATCTTACGAATTTTACACGCGTTTCACAGCGTTTTCTCGCAGCGTATTTCCAGCGTTCGAAACAGCGCGAGGATTTCGAAAACGTTCCTCGGCGATCTCCTAATTTTAGAGAAGGTATTCGACGATTCTCCATCATTACCCCGACCACGTTTATAAATATGATCTCACGGCGTGCCGCGAGAATGAAGCTGCACCATCGGGGAGTTAATGTAGCGGCTCGCATTGTGATTTGATGGATTTCTTCCATCTGTCGCTGGTGGTTTTGCTTCGAATCGACAGCGACGAACGTCTCTTACAAATTACTTCAAATGTAACGTGCACGACTAATAAAAAGAAAAGAAAAAAAAAAAAAAGTTCAAATTTCACCCGTTGAAGTTCATCCATTGAGGAGTGTAGTACTTGCCCAACAAGTATCTTGCTTCTTAATCGCTATTGGTCTGAACGAAGATTATAAAAGGCCTATTCATCGGAGGCTATTTTATCGTACCCGTGCCATTTTAATCATGGTGGAGAACGATACGGAGCAAGATAAATCGCAGACTGAATGCTCTTTGAGTCTGAAAGTCAGAGTTTATCAGATCCGCTTGTGCTAAATATTTTTTTTTTTTTTATAGTAACTTTGGTATTCCTTTTTCTCGCGGAGGTAGATGTCAGGTAAAGAAGATCTTTTAAAAAGGATTTACAATTAGTTGAAAAAAATGATATGTGTCTGTTAAAAATTTTTAATGATAATTAATATTTAATATTTAATAATTAATATAATTGTAATATTGTTATATATTAATTATAATTATAATATATATAATATATTAATAAATTAATATCATAATTAATAATTATAATATTAATTATATTAATATAATTAAATAATTATAGTTGTAATTAATATAGTTGTAATATTGTTATATTAATTATAATTATAATATATATATAATATTATATTAATAAGTTAATATCGTAATTAATAATTCTAATATTAATTATATTAATATAATTAAATAATTATAATATTATCATATATTAATTATAATTGTAATATAACTAATATTATATTAATAAATTAATATCATAGTTAATAATTAATATTTATAATATTAATTATATTATCAATACAATTAAATAATTATAATTGATATTTAATAATTTTATACACTTAATACGGTATTTGATAATTTGAATATTTTTAAAAATGGAGACAGAACCATGAAACGAACCGCAATAAATTTACATCGTTATCCGTGACGTTGTGGTTTATCGTTTAAAAATTAATCAAAATCAGTCTGAATTCGCTCGAACGTAAAAAAAAAAAAAAAATAGGGTATCGAGAAAAGGCGACTTGATTTTTTTCTTCGACAGACAGAAAAGGAACAAGGTGCGGAGGAACGATTGAGAGCAATTGAGACGATCGTTCGATTTGGATCTGTCTGACTTTAAGCATCCACTATATTCTACGTCGTGTCGGTCAGTCGCAGACGTTCGTTTGAATGCTTAAGTGTGCACTTGAGTCTGAATCTTCGTCTGTAAAAATGCGAGCGCCGATTTTCTTTCTTTCTCTCTCTTTTTTTTTTTTTTTAGGAGAAACAACCTCCACATCAGACAGACAAGACAAGTTTCGTTGAGCCTAGCGTCAATTAACGAATAATTATTCACCTTGCTCTAAAAATTCCCCTCAAAAGGGTGAATTTCTTTTTTAGAGCAAGATGAACTTTATTTGCAAAAAGTTGAAATGGTTTAATTTAAGTTCGAATTGAAAACCTGCGTAATGCAAAATAAATAAATGTAAATAATAGTTGCCTGCTAACGAACGTAGCTTCATGCGGCGCGCACTGTCAAAAAATCGGTAAAACAGGTCTCTTGAGACCACAGCCATCATGCACGAGCGTGTACATACGTTTGTACGATAGCGTTGGAAGAGTTGGTCCACGATCGTAGAGAAACGTAGTTGAGCGAAACGAGCATGCGGCTCGCTTCCGCGTTTTCTTCGCCGCGTAACGGGAGCCGCGTGATTGATGATCGAATCGCGTGAAAGCTGCTACGAATTCGCCGGCGCGCTCTTCCAGAGAACCGGAGGAACGTGTGTGGCGTATATTCGTGTGTGCGTGTGCATAGCTCGGTGAAGTTCAAAGCCGAGCACACAGGAGCACACAGCGGCGGGGAAGTGTGATATCAACGCGACGTCGACGCGCTTTCGAGCCAATTATCCGCGTTTAATTTCCCAAAGACGTTGACAGACGATGCTACCAGCGCGGTGTTTCGGCGACGATTCTCCGCTTTTCTCTTTGGTTGAAGTTACGACGAAATCGGCGGCGTGTTTCTCTTCGATCGAGTTTTTCGACACTCGACGATTTCAGTTCTGACGCGTCAGTTCCGATCCAGAGGATCCTCGAATTCGCTCAAGTGGACTTTGGAAACTAAACCAAATGTTCAACGTCAGATTTATGTACGTTCGAGTGTTCCTTCTCTTTTTTTTTTTTTTTTTTTGGCTTTCTCGCAAACAGAAATTAAGTTTCACTCACAGCGAACGATTTTCAATCCCTGTATTTCAGACATTTAGAACGGAGGAAATTAAGATAAGTGCTGTTGCAGAGAAGAATCTACGAAGTTTTTACATCAAATAACCATGGAATCGCGTTTTTCAAGACTAACTGTTTTTCACATTCTTTTCTGGAAGAGAAATCTTCTCAGTAATTTCACGCATCGGAAGTTGCATTTATTAATATGTCGGTCGTAATGCTACGTTATGCGAGCACTGAATGATTCAATCACACCGTGAACTTGGGAAACTATACTATGCTACAATGGCTACTGTGGACTGCTTTTGTGAAAATTCTACAGGGCTGTGTTACAAATATTTTTTCTATTTTTTATTTTTTTTATTTTGCAAGAATTTCCACTCTTATCAATTTTCAAGGATGGATATTTATTGAAACATTCTGTAATATCTATCGAGTTGCGTAACTACGCGCACACGTTATCAGGAAAACAACATACTTATCGCAAGTCATTAAAAAATTATGATAAAATACATTTTTACAACGCGAAAGGAAGAGAAGGTGAGAGAGGTTTTATTTCGCTTTTCACGAACAAATCATCTTCGAATAACGTAAAGCAATGAGATACGCTAGTTTAAATCAGATCTGGCCATTTTGAAAAAGTTTTCGTGCAATATTATCTTTAAGTTATTTCAGAAATGCAATATTATCTTTTAAAGTTATTTCAGAAATGATCTATTTGTAAAATAAACGGAATTATATTATTAAGCATCTCGTATAAAAATTAAATCAATTTACTTTCAGTTGAATGATTCATTTGTTATTTCACGAAATAAATTATTTGCTATTTGCCAGGATTTTTGTTTGTTTTGATTTGATTCTGATAGAAATAACTGAGGTTTCTCGAGGTATAACGTTCAATGTTTATATGTGCTATTTCTCGGCATAGTTATTACGTTTATCTACAGATTGAAAATATCGCTCGATTTTTTGATGACGATTGAAGAAATTTAGATATGTTACGTGACCACGTATTAATAAAGCAAGTACTTTTAAAATATTTTCATTTTGCAACTTTAACAGATGTCCCTAAATGTTTGAGGAAACGAATCCTATTGAAAGACAAATTTCTGCCCTGATAACGTGCATATAAATATAAATTATAATAAATTATTTCGACTTTCATTCATTTTTTTTTTTTTTTCATTCGAACGTTTCGGTTTCATTGATATTTATTTCGAATGTTATTTTAATGACATCAAGTAAATATTATTTTCTCAAACAATCAGTTTTTCAATTTATTATTCGCGTAATTTCAAATTCCTTCCAACTGACCAAATGACACGATACGTACCATAAATAAAATGCGCGTTCTCTGCAAAAGATATTAACCCTTTGCGCTGGCAACTGGTTGCGCGGACCATAACGAGTGACCAAACCGTATACAATAATTCGTCGCTTTCTTTTTGAACTGATATCATTGGATAGAAATTATTGAGAAGTAATAAATTTACTTGTTTGCCTGAGTTATATTTAAATATACTTAAAACTGAGAGAATGTTGCAATTTTGGGACAAAAAATTCTCGACGTGCGTTGCGTTGCGTTGGTAACTGATTGCGGACCATAACGAGTGACCGAACCGTATACAATAACTCGTCGTTTTCTTTTCCTCTCGAACTCGTCGGTATGATATTACTGAGTAGAAATTGTTGAAGAAAGAATAAACTTATCATTTGTTTTGCCTGGGTTACGACTTGAATATCCGCGAAACTGAGAAAATATTACAATTTTGTAATAAAAAGAATTCTCCACGCGCGCGGCACGCCATTCCAGCGCAAGAGATTAAAGAATCACATTGTTTCAAAAATTTATTCGCGATCGTCTCAAGACGAAGCTCGCGTGTTTGAAAAAAAGGTCGGGAGGGGACGACGAAATTCGCGACGTGACCGACGACGAGCGAAAGAAAACAAGGGTGGAAGAAAAGCGAGTGTATTAACCGGTGTGTTGGTTTTCGCAGCGCAAACGGGAGGGCGCCAGTGTCCAGCAAGCCACCCCTGCCTCCACAGCCGCCGCGCGTCGGGGCGCTGGGCTCGAGATCGTCGACGGGCGCGTCGGCGGCGTGTTCGTCGCGCCGACGCGCGGCCACGGACCTTGGAAATCCGGCGGCCATCGAGATGGCGAAAGCCCGCACGATGCAGGCCGCCCAGGAGCGCCCGGTCGGCCTGCTCGAGACCGACCTCGACGAGGCTGTGCCGTCGACGACGAGCACCACGACCATCACGACGACGACCACCATCAACAACAGCGTGGCCGCAGCCGCCGCCGCCGCCGCCGCCGCCTCTGCCTCTGCCTCTGCCTCTGCCTCTGCCACCGCGAACGCCGCCGGCAAGAAGACCAGGAGTCTGCTCAATCTGAATCACACCTCGGCCGCCCCGCGACCCAGGCCCGAGCACGCCCTCCACGTACCCCAGTCGCCTGTCGCCGCTTCGCACAGGAGCCCCCGCGACGACGACGCCGCCTCCACCATCAACCAACGGCCACACAAATCCATGGAGTTCCTCCTCGACAAGGAGAACCTGCATTTCGTCAAGGTGAGTTCCGAGTTCTATTCTCCTCTCTCTCTGTCTCTCCCGCGGCACTCGTTTCGCTCTTGGCGAGAGTCCTCACTCCGCCGTTGCAGCGGTTTTATCGCCAGTTGCACGCTGTCCTCGCGTCCCGATCGTTCCATTGTTCGTTAACTGTTAACTGTTAACTGTTGGTGTGCGAGGAACGTGTCGGATGAACCTGATGATACGCAGGATGGCGATAGGGGTGGTATGTACACACGTCGAAAGACGAAAAGATCGGGGAATAAGAATGGGGAATTGTGCGTTTAACGGGGCGAGCTCGCTGCTGATCGTCCCTTTGCATCGGTAGCATATGGTAACATCGATCGCCGCCTCGATGCGTCGACGATTTCTCAAACGTAAAGCGTAGTTTTCTTCGGACGTTTTTCTACGTTTACGCGTTACGTACTAACGTAACGTGTGCGTATTGATAATATACACCCAAGGCGCGCGCACGGTCATCGAGTCGAGAGTCGTTAATTGCCTGACGTATTTTTGTTCGATCGTCAATTTAATTAATAACGAGCCAACAGCGTTATTAACACTGCTGCGCGACGTACACTCTCTTGCGTATATTATCGTTATCGGTAGAATATCGTGGCGATAAACGGAGCGTCGAACGGAATGTAACGTAATGCACACGTGATGTCGTATATCGCGAAAAAAAAAAGAAAAAAAAAAAGGAAAGAATAACTAACGATAACGATCTTTGCTTCGAGTAGAGCTATGTCATTTTGTTGCAAACTACTGTGTTGGAACGAGGTTGAAAAAGGAATCGTCGAGTCTCGGGCCTGCACAAATAGTGGAACAAGTAGGGAAAGGACTCCCGGGAAGCCTTCGAGCGATGTCTCCGTCGCGATTGCTGCTCGATCGAACGTGTTGCTTTTCAGGTTTCTTTTCGTCTTCATTTGCGCTTTGCTGTTTCTACGTACAGGCTTCGACGCGAGCATTTCGACCCGGCAACGGTTATTAAAACCGCGACTCTTCAACTCTTTCCGCGTACGTTCGTTAACGAACGATTAGAGAGAGAAAAATTAGTGAACAATCGGCGGAGAATTAGCCACCGGATGATTGTCGAAACGAACTGATCACGTTGGCAAAATTATCATACGAAGCTGGATTTATTAATTTAATGCGCGCTCTTAATTTCGTCCGACAGAAATTTCGTCCTGAATTATTTCAACGCATTGCTATTCGTTCAAATAATTCCCGGAGCGTGGTTTACGCAAAATGCTACAAGTAGAGATTGAGATACTTTTTAAGTTGTTGAATACTAAAAAAATGTTTTTTGAGAAATATTAAGTGCTAAACTTGTTGTGTTGTTAAGTAAAAAAAATATTTAAACAACTCTGTCGCATCTATGATTCAACGATATTGCAGTTGAAGGTTAAAATGGTTACCTTCTTGTCAATAACTCAATTATTCAATATCACTTGACTGTACGTACTGAACTATAGAAACACTGATCGTTCGCGTTTCGTATTTCTATAGCGAACGAACTGATAAGATGGCCACTCTAGGTCTGTTGGAATTTTTCCATCGTATTTATTTATAGAGTAAATACTTTATTATTTTGACATTTGACTCTGTTTCGAGCTCACGTTGAGGTTCGTTTGAATAACTGCAAACGCGTCCACGCGTTTCAGATTGATACAGCGTAAGCCTTCAACCTTTGACATTTCTTCGATTAAGCGGTTTGAAGCGCCACACCGATTTCCGTATCGAGTCTGCTGTTCAAAACAATCGACAGACAATGCGATTCGCGATATCTAGCGAGAAACGTTGTTATTCCTATAACAACGACGACAACAACTTTCAGATTGAATTGGAAACACGTTGAACACGCTCGGCGATATTCGTAACATTTCTAAAACTTTCACTCGACTTTTACACTCGATTTTCGTCTCTTCGAAAATTCCAAATCATTCTCGAGGGATTCTTCTTTTTCTTTTTTTTTGTTGTTTTTTTTTTTTTTTTTTTTTTTTTTTTTTTTTTTTTTTTTTGCACGTGCATCCGGAG